GGTTTGATATTATCAAAACATATCATAAAACGAACACGGTTTAGTACGGCGTATGCGTAAACCCGTGTTCCAACAGTGTGTGCATAACAGAAACACCCAAGAACACGTTTTATGATATGTTTTGAAAAGCAGCAAAAGATCAAAGGGCAGGCGTCAGTGCACCCCCTCACTCGTTGCGAATACATAAGTCCACCCTTGGGAATTACTACATCTGAAAAAATCTGCAAATCGTGATGGAGGTTGGGAGATGAACCGCATTAGAACTTACGTGACTAATTTGCCCTTAGGCTTGCCTTAACAAAACATCGTGCTCTTCGACCATAGGGTGTATACTACTAAGGTGTTTTTGAGTAACATAAAAGATATGAATTCTGGTATCTTCATATATCATAATCTACTTTTAGTATTTAGTGAAGTCAAAAAGAGATATCAGGATTGATATTTTCAGATATCATAAATCCTCCAAATGTAGAGTTTCGATATCTTTTAAATTTGAGTGACGTCAATATGGGAGTTGATATCTCTATCAATTGTTGTTCATTCCTCGCCACTGACTACCTTTGTCACCGCCAACATATTTTGTTGTCGGTCACCCAAGCCTATTATTAATTAACTTAAATAATCATTTTAAATTTCTCCAAACTTCATTTCAAATTTCAAAATTCTTATCATTTTTTCCTAGATTTAAAATTTCATATCTTATCATACTTTCATGTTTCAATAAAACGATTGTTGCAAAAAAACATTAAAACGAGCTCAATGCTAGGTTCACAAACAGAATGCTCACAAACTTACTATCTATAGTTTAAATTTTCATTTTAAAATTATTTTAGACTATTTAATTTTTTTTATTGAAGTTCACAAATAGTAAATTTGTGAAGTTTGTGATTATTGTGTTTGTAAACGAAGCATTTCTCTAAATTTTTAGGGGCGGATGAAAACATTTATGACAAGTGAGAGTACAATTGATTTACCGCTTTTATTCTAATAAGCTTGGTTTTCATGTTTGATGACACCTTGACAAATTTCGCAGTGTAAAAGTGAAAATAATTATGTGCACGTGAGAAATGCATGTATGATATTCTCATTCCCTAGTGAAAAATTATCTCATCTCAAGATAATTTAACTTACTACTTTCGTTAATATCTTCCTTCCCACCCACAATTGATTCTGGTTAGATAGAGCACAATTAGACCTAGTAATTTTTTTTCTGGCAAAATGCGCTAGCAATTGGCACATAGGGGAGTGGTTTCTCGGCCTAGTATCCTGCACCTCGCGTTCATGATATTTACATTCAACTGTGCCCCGGAGACACGGTCGAAGCACGCCCACCCAGTGTGCTTCTTTCATGACATGCCTATAGTCCTGGGTGTCTACGAATGGTCTTCTAGCCTTAGAAGAAGTCGTGTCCGCCACGGGCATTCCCAATCTAAAAAGATTCTAAAATGATATTCTGGGACAACTAAAAGACTGAGCCATACGGTTACTTTTGCGGTCGCTCGTCGTTATAAACAATCTCGGGATTAAAAAACAATTTCATTACTTAATATGGAACCAAATAGACATGATACTAAGTGTTAAGCGTGTTGTAGCACCTACAAATTAGTTTATTATTTTCCTTAACTTCAATCCCCCTTTATGAACTTGTATTCATTAAAACATATAGATAGGGCAAGTAAGGGTCGATCCCACGAAGAAAGATACTTTTTAGACTATGAAAATCAGTTCACTTGTCACTTTTATTGAATAAAAACTAACTAAAATCTAAAAAACTAAAACTAAAGGATATGTGGGGGTTTGAAAGATAAAATTAAATGATAAAAGTGCAAATTAAATAAAGATAAAGATAACAGATAAGAGATGGAACTACATCAGAAACTCGAACTCAGACGAACACTCAGGGAGAAAGAAACACACAAAAAACAATCACACAATAAACTTTATAAAAACGTAGACAATAATAATTAACTTAAACCATTTTGAAAATACTTATAGTTTTTACTAGAAAATAAACTGACCAAATCTGATCAATCAATTAATTATGCCTTGCTTCTGAAATTAAACTGCTAATTAAACTCAGGGTTAGGCTGAAGAAGAGGTCCACCAACGGTTCTTCCCTATTCTCCCATTCATATTAGCTCATGTTAGGACCAACCCTAACTCTAAACCCTACTACCCTTAGCAACCCAAAGACCAACCCTTAAGTTACTACTAAGAATAGCGCATTAAGATCTTTGGAGAACATCACCATAACAACTTTGCAGTAACACTACAATTATTTAACAAAATCAGTTCGAGAACCTTGATTAGCAAAAACCACTTAGCGAGGCAGCAAGTACTAATCAAGTGACACTTGGTTTCTAAAAAAGTTCGGCTATTTAAAGCACTTTGGACTTTAAAAGAATATCATTTTAAACTGGATTAGGCGCGCGTTCCTAATTTCGCCCAATTTAAGTAAAATCTGGTGAATAATAATTCTCAGAACACCTTTTTGAGTTTAGATTTAACAGTAGCATAGAGCTAAAATCTCTTCAAAGTCAAATTAATTCAACAAACAAAGATTCAATCTTTTTGTCAAACAATCTAGCCTAAGAAGGTTTTATAATTTGAGAGACAAAATTACCAAATCGCAATTTGGACAATTCAACATCAACACACAAACAATTCATCACCTATAATATAACTTAAACATTCAACATAAAAACAAGAATTGAAAATAAATAGAAAAAAATATTTAGTATAGGAAATCATATTCAATAATGGGAATTGAACAAATATGATAGCCTAGTAATATAACCAAGTATAATCAAATACGGAGTAAAAGGAGTAAAGTACAAAATGCTCCCCTGTTCTGCTTCTTTGTTCTTCGTCACTTTGCCGCCAGAGAAGAGACACCAGACTTAAGCCACTGCCTTCTTCAATAGCTGCCGTGCCTTGTGTCGCCATCGCCACCATCACCGAACCTAGGGTCGGAACCCTAGGCCGGCGGTGGCAATCCTTGCCGCTGCTATGTTCCTCTCTCTCGGTTATCTGATCTCCCTCTGGATTTGGGGTTGAAGAAGATGATTTTCTTGTGGCTTTTGTCTCCTTTTATAATCGTGGAGTTTGGAATCTTCAATTTGGAGTAGGATTCTTGGAATTTGCGTTGGATTTGGGGAAGGACTCTGCGCCTCTTCTCTCCTGCGTTTCTCATTCACCGAAGATTTCTCTTTTTTTTCTTCTTTTATTTGCTCTTCTTCCTCTCTTAATTTATTTGGTAGATGGAATAGCTTTGGGCCAAATTTGGATTGGGCCAACTTTTAAGCTCCAAAAATTCAACTTCAATATCTTCTGACTTCTTGGACTCCCATGTATTATCTACAAATTTCATGCCAATGAAAATAATATTCCAAAATAATTGTCAAATATAAATATGCTCAAAATCATGCATTTTATGTATAAAATGTAAACAGTAGCCTAAAATGCTAAATATAACAAAATATGTTTATTTTGGTATGAAATGCATATAAAACATCTTAAAAATACTAAGAAATGAGAGAATAAAATATGATATTTTGTGACTCAACAAATACCCCCACACTTAGACTTTTGCACGTCCTCGTGCAACNTTGGACTCCCATGTATTATCTACAAATTTCATGCCAATGAAAATAATATTCCAAAATAATTGTCAAATATAAATATGCTCAAAATCATGCATTTTATGTATAAAATGTAAACAGTAGCCTAAAATGCTAAATATAACAAAATATGTTTATTTTGGTATGAAATGCATATAAAACATCTTAAAAATACTAAGAAATGAGAGAATAAAATATGATATTTTGTGACTCAACAAATACCCCCACACTTAGACTTTTGCACGTCCTCGTGCAACCTAAACATCTTAGAAATTTTTTTTTTCTTTTTGGGTGCCATTAGAGCTCAAAGTAATTTTTCAATCTCATAACAATCTAAAGTGATGCATGAAACATTAAACAAAAATTAATCATATACCAAATAGAATAAACACTTTAAAAATAAATTTGCTACTTTAAATTTTAAAACAATTCTTTTACTTCAAAGTTAAGTAGAAATTATTTTTATTGAATGTCAAAACTTTGAATTAATTAAGGCCATTGAGAACAATTTAAAAGAAATCTACAGAGCAACTAAAAGTAGTTAGAAATCCTAAGAAACAATCAAGTAAAGAAAAGCTCAAGAAAATTTATTTTCTTTTCCAAAATTTGGAAACTTGTATTTATTGGTTTCTTTCAATATTTAATTTTAATGGTTTGAGTTGACCCGTGTAGCGAGTTTCAACCAGGCTACCCCAGGCCCATTCCAGATAGCCCGAGACCTAAATAAACGAAGTATTCCGAGGGTTTCAACTCGAGTGCTCAAACAATATTTTCATTCATTTTTTATTCTTTTATTTTTACCTAGCCATTTATTGCACTTTTTTTTCTTTTTGGCTCAATGGCGTCGGCTTTTTTTTAAACTGGTTATGGACGAGATTCGTACGGCCCAAAACGGGGTTTGCTCTTCCAACTCAGGTTTTCTCCATACACAACATCACTTCCTTTTGGGATCTGTTGCTTAAGGGGACAAAGGTGCCGTGCCACCCATGCCAACCTAAGATGGTGTTCCAGTATATATATTCAGTTTTTCAGCATCTTGATAATATATAAATAACCAAAATTTAGAAAAAGAAAAAGATTTTCTTAAGACTAACTTTACTTGAATAGCAGTTTAGGAAAAAAAAAGTTAGAAAACTGCTCCATATATCTTTAAATAAATTGTGCACATTGAACTTAACTAATTAAAAGGTATGAGATTAAACAAAAACAAGTTCCAAATAGATTTGACTTAAAAGAAATGATTTAAATTTTATAGTAGCAAACTCATTTTTAAATAAATTCAAACATATTTGTTACAAATTTAATTTCTATTTAAGGCAAAAATTGCAACACTTAAGAGTGCTAAAAGATTAAAAGAAACTATAATGATTTCTAATTTTTCTCGAAACTCTCCTTTTCTTATATAGATTTTTATGTGAAAGATAATTGTTTTCTTAAAAAACTTTAAAAGTTTTAAATTTTAACCAAATTGCATCTAAAATAAAAAATTGACATGAAATACCTCTTTTTCTACCCAATTCATGCTCCTAGTATGTGTATGAAAACATGCAAACAAAATTTTTTTCCTAAAATATGCATAACTAAATGCAGAAGCGTCCCCCCACACTTAAATCATGCACTGTCCTCAATGCATGTCAAAGATATAAAAATGATGAACGAATGCACATATTTAATGAGACAATTAACAACATGAAACATGAAAAACAATAAAACAGATGCAAAATGAGAGGCAAGGGATCAGAAGATATGACAATTAAGCATGCAAGACAGACAAAGTGCAAGTAAAGAAGAGAATAAAAGAAAAGAAAAAGTAAATAAAATGCATAAAAATAAAAGTTTAAATATCTGGGTTGCCTCCCAGAAAGCTGCCTCTTTTAATGTCTTTGGCTAGACTCCTTATTGCTCAGGACAACATGGAGAATCCTCATTATACTTCTAATAACCTGTGATTCCTCAAAAGTACATCAAACTAAATTATCACAAGGTCAAAGCATTAAAACAACTTGATTTAGTGTACTCAAAAATTAGTTTTCCAAACAAGCATAACAAACACTAAAAACATAGATAGGTTCTCTAGAAATAGCATTAGGAAAATAAGTTTATTTTTGTCAACTCTACTAAAATAGTTTTTTATTAGGAAGATTTCTCTTTTTTTTCTTCTTTTATTTGCTCTTCTTCCTCTCTTAATTTATTTGGTAGATGGAATAGCTTTGGGCCAAATTTGGATTGGGCCAACTTTTAAGCTCCAAAAATTCAACTTCAATATCTTCTGACTTCTTGGACTCCCATGTATTATCTACAAATTTCATGCCAATGAAAATAATATTCCAAAATAATTGTCAAATATAAATATGCTCAAAATCATGCATTTTATGNAAGTTTATTTTTGTCAACTCTACTAAAATAGTTTTTTATTAGGAAGATTTCTCTTTTTTTTCTTCTTTTATTTGCTCTTCTTCCTCTCTTAATTTATTTGGTAGATGGAATAGCTTTGGGCCAAATTTGGATTGGGCCAACTTTTAAGCTCCAAAAATTCAACTTCAATATCTTCTGACTTCTTGGACTCCCATGTATTATCTACAAATTTCATGCCAATGAAAATAATATTCCAAAATAATTGTCAAATATAAATATGCTCAAAATCATGCATTTTATGTATAAAATGTAAACAGTAGCCTAAAATGCTAAATATAACAAAATATGTTAATTTTGGTATGAAATGCATATAAAACATCTTAAAAATACTAAGAAATGAGAGAATAAAATATGATATTTTGTGACTCAACACTAAGCCCAAAAATATATATTTTCAAATGGTTATAGCAAATTAGCAATTATATCTCGAACCAAATCATTCCATTTTCAAAATAGTACTCCGTTCAAGACGTGTTCACAAAAAATAAGAACAAAAAATCCTAAAACAAAATGTTACTATTCCCTCCCTCCCAATTTAAATTGCGTATTTACTATTTACAAACTAAAACACAAACCACATTCTTTACAAATTTTTACTACTTATTTGAAAAAATAATTAGTCTGGGCACCTCTTGTTTTGTACTCCAACTTGTAATTTTGATGTAAGAAATCCTTTGATTTTGTTATGTATTACTTGAATCTTTGTTCATGAAGTGATATAATTTCTCTTCGTATTCTGTTAGGATTTTTATGTATTGTGTTCCATTTGGAATTACAAAACGATAGAGAAAATAAATAGGGGAGAAAATATAGGGTAAATTACAATGGAAAGAAGTCATGAAATATAAAAACCCAATAGATTCATTTTTTATACCTGTTCTAACTCATTTTGTTTCTCTATTACTCCCTCCGTCCTCCGTCCGGAAAAGAAGTACCCATTTGGACTTTTGGTCATTATTTTTATTGAGTGTTGACTTTGTGATGGAAATGTCCACAATACACTCCTGACCTTCCCTAGTCCTTCCCTGCTGCTATCTCCGACCTATAAGAGTCAACCATCACATCCTCTAAGCAAGACCATTGACCCAACCTAAACCACCACCGTCATCTCCACCCGCTGACCGCACTAGCAGGAACTTAAGCAGATCTGCAAGGAGGTGAAGTTCAATGACCACACAGTTGACCCGCCTACCACCTCTAGCAAAAGATCATATGTAAATTTGAACAAGATCTAGACGGAGGAGGAGAATCGGAACAAGAAACTTCAAAAGAGATGGTGCAGATCTGGCCGGAAAAGAAGCAGATCGAGAAAAAAGTAATGGAGAAGAAAGGAGAAGAAGAAAAGGAGAAGAGGGGGACTAAGAAAGAGATGGAGAGAGAAGAAGAAGAAGATTGAAGTTATGGGGATAGAGAGAGAAAAGAACGGTGAAAAGAGAGAGAGGGAAGACAGAAAAAAAAACAAGAAACGGAGGAAAGGACATAGAAAAAGAAAAGAGAAGAAACGGAACAACTGAGGAGGAGGAAGAGGAGAAGGGGTAGTTTTTAAGAAGTTGGTATTTACAAGTTAAAACTATGTTCTCATATAGTCTAGAGTAGAAATTTTGATGTAATTTTTAAATATATAATTTGTACTCCCTCCGTCCCAAATTATGATGCATTTTTACTATTCACAGAGTCAAACTTCATTCACTTTCTTTCTCTATTTTCGTTAGCAATTTGATAAAATAAATTTTATTATCTCTACTAGTTTTGTAGATCTTTTGATGTAGTTTTTTAATATGTAATTTTTATTTTTTAATTCTATACCATTTGTCATATAAAATGGTTTGAAAATAATTTCAATCAAACATCGTAAATCAAAACAGACGTTATAAAATAGGACGGAGGTAGTATTCTTTAATTCCATATTAAATTTAAATTTAATTGAATTGAAAAATATCTTCAATCAAACCTCGCAAACAAACAACTGAAATTGAGACATAGAAAGTATTAAAATGTTAAGCTAATAAAATAATTATATATTTACGTTTGTTCATTTTCAACATTATAAGTTGAATGCTTTTCATGCGACATGGAATTACTCAATCATGTCTTTTAAATTACTTTACCCTGATTATTGCTAAATTCATCTCAAAATGGCTATATCTTCTCCTTTCAATTACACTTTATAAAACCACACCAATGTGTTATGTTAATGGGTGTGAGTTTAGCAAACATAGGAAAAAGATGGGGATATGTGCGTGCGTGCGTATTAATGGGTGTGAGTTTAGCAAATTTACTTTCATGATTTAATTTTTTTAAGATAAAACTTATTTCAACTCTTAAAACACTACGGTACAGTTTGACATTAGTAAGGCATGGTAACACATCTAAAAACGACATAGCAAATCGAATTGGTAGTAAATTTGAAGCGTACTAAACCGTTTGAATAGTAGTGCTACGGTACAAATTTTATGAAAATCCTTAATTGTCACAAACCACGCTCACCCTAACTGCATTGCTTTCATCGAAATAAATACCTGCCGGGAGAGTGAATATCAAGTTTCATTCGCCTATTTACCTATGATGTCTATCTCTATACCCGTTAAAAGCGAAACGAATGCAGCTAAATATTGTTCGAAAGAGAAACAATACCACAAAATTTTGTCCTTTTAAGAGAGGAGCTGTACTATCGCTACGTACAGAGAAAAGGTGAAATTAAAAGCACATTAACTGATGTTATTAAGAGCATTAACCAGGATTACGTTCCACATATTTGTCATCTATATTAGGTCTCCTCCCTATTCTGGGTTATGCGAAGAACAAGTCTAATTACCAAGGTTCTACGGCACTCAAGGATAGCAGAAAACACACACACACACACACACACACACACTCTATAAAGGTCACAGACTCACAAATGGGATATTCAAACAAGATGTCCTCTCTGCAGCCTTCCCCAAGCAATGCTTCCACCAACTAAGACTCAGGGTGTAGCACCTGCACGACAGACGCAATTTATTAAGCAAATGCGGAATTTTATCATGAATAATACTCCATCAGTCCCACTTTGTTGTGCCTACTTTGACTAGGCATTAGTATCAATAAAGTAAACAAAAAATGTGGTTGAGGTTTATGCATGTGACAGAAATATTGTGAACTGCATAACACTTATATTATGAAACATGCACGATAAATCATGGTTGTTACGTCGATAGGTCGAGTTGCCAGCGAATAGACTAGTAAGTCAAAATAGTCGATAATTAGTTGATTAGTGTAATATATTGCAAATCCTTCCAATTGCAACAAGGATAGCAAGAACAAAGGCAACAACAACAACAACAACCCAGTTGAATCCCACTACGGTAGGGTCTGGGGAGGGTGTGTGTACGCAGACCTTGCCCCTACTCGGAAGTAGGGAGGCTGTTTCCAAGAGACCCCCAGCTCAACCTGCACAAAAATATGGAAGGAAACACAGTATAACACAGATAAAGCACCAAGTACAATGAAATGAAAGTCCTGCAAACAATAGTAAAAGATTCCAATCAAATACAACACACTACAACACAACCTCTATAACACTGAGCTTCTATCCAACTACTCTAATCCTAGTTCTCCAAAGGTTCCTATCTAAGGCCATATCCTCAGTCAAGGTGAGAAGTCCTAAATCCTGCCTAATCACCTCCTTCCAATTCTTCCTTGGTCTACCCCTTCCCCAACTTCCCCCAATAACCGTAATCCTCTCGCATCTCCGTACAGGGGCGTCAGCATCCCACCATCTCACATGACCAAACCATCTCAACCTCACTTCCCGCAACTTATCTTCCACCGGCGCCATGCCTACCTGACGTCGGATAACTTTGTTCGAAATCCTATCCAACCTTGTCTTCCCACACATCCATCGTAACATCCGCATCTCCGCCGCATGCAGACGACGCACATTAGTCTTTTTAACCGCCCAACACTCTGCCCCATATAACATAACAGGTCTGACTACGGATCGGTAGAACTTACATTTCATCTTGGGCGAAATCTTCGGATCACACAACACCCCTGAAGCTAACCGCCATTTGGCCCAAGCCACTCCAACACGATGTCCAACATCCCCGTCTAACTCCCCATCAGCCTGGATTACCGAGCCAAGATATCAAAACCTGTCTACCTTAGGTACTAGGTGAGAGTCAATCCTAACTTCCACTTCTGATTCTGTTTCCCGAGCGCTGAAACGACATTCCATGTATTCAGTCTTGTTCCTACTTATTCTGAATCCTTTAGTCTCAAGGGCAAGGCGCCATAGTTCCAACTTATCGTTTAGTCCCTCACGTGTGTCGTCGATAAGCACAATATCATCCGCGAAAAGCATGCACCATGGGACCCCTTCTTGAACACCTCGAGTTAGGACGTCCATCACCAAGGCGAACAAAAAAGGGCTAAGGGCAGACCCTGGTGCAACCCTATCCCTACCGAGAATGACTTAGAGTCGCCCCTGGAAGTCCTTACCCTGGTCATAGCCCCATCGTACATATCCTTGATCGCGCGAGTGTACACGATGGGAACTCCTCTCGTCTCAAGGCACCTCCATAAGACCTCCCTTGGCACCCTATCGTACGCCTTCTCAATGTCAATAAACACCATATGAAGGTCCTTCTTCCTAGCCCTATACTCTTCCATTAACCTCCTCACGAGATGAATGGCCTCTGTAGTCGATCTGCCAGGCATGAAACCAAACTGGTTCTCAGAGATGCATACCCCTTTCCGCACCCTATACTCAATGACTCGCTCCCAAACCTTCATGGTGTGGCTAATCAGTTTGATGCCTTTGTAATTCTCGCAGCTCGGAATGTCACCTTTGCCTTTAAACAGTCTCCCTCCACTCATCAGGCATTCTTGCGTGTTTGGAGGATAACATTGAAGAGTTTGGTTAACCAAACCCACGCACAACGACCCGCATGCTTCCAAAACTCCACCGAAATCTCATCTGGTCCCAAAGCTCTCCCACTACGCATCCCGCAGAGAGCCCGAACCACCTCTTTCAGGCAAATGCGCCGGCAATACACACGAGACGCCCCGTACTGCCTCAACTCATCAAGAACTAGCCTCTGGTCTCCTCCCGCATTTAAGAGTTCACTAAAGTACTCCCCCCAGCGCTTAGCCACCATGGCACTCTCAACTAACACTCTACCATCGCTGCCCTTCACGCATCTCACGTGTTCCAGATCTCGGGCCTTTCTCTCACGCACCTTAGCAAGCCGGAACAATGGATTGACACTGCCTTTCTCCTCAATATCCTTGTAGAGGCGTTCAAAAGCGGCATTCTTTGCCATCATAACCTCTAACTTAGCTTCTTTACGTGCCTTCTTGTACTCCACTCGTAACGCCGCTCTTTCCTCCTCAACATTGCAACCCATGTATTTCAAATATGCCACCTTCTTAGCTTCCACCTTACTTCGGACTGAATCGCTCCACCACCAATCACCCTGACGCCTACTCCCAGAGCCAGAGCTCACACCCAACACTTCCCTGGCTATTTCCCTGATGAGTCCGCGCCCACATATCAGTAGCCTCTCCGGTCGATTCCCACGCACCTTTCTCCTGCACTCGCCTGATCAACTCAGAGATATTCTCCCCACTTAGTCTCCTCCACCGGATTTGTGTGTTGCCACTCGAAGCTCTCCTATGTTTCACCCACCTGATCATGACATCCATCACCAGAAGCTTGTGTTGGGTAGTGATGTTTTCACTCGGAATTACTTTAGCATCCTTGCAGAGCACCTGATCACCCCTGCGCAGGAGAAGATAGTCGATCTGTGTCGTCCCCACTCCACTAACAAATGTAGCCAAATGATCGTCTCGTTTAGGGAAACAAGAGTTAGCAACCACCATATCACTCGCTCTGGCAAACTCCAAGAGTGAAACTCCAGCTGGGTTCCTGCTGCCAAAGCCAAAACCACCGTGCACGTCCTCGAAGCCCTCGGCCGATTCTCCAATATGGCCATTGAAGTCGCCTCCAATGATGACTTTCTCAGTCAGTGGAAAACCAACAACCACCCCATCCAAGGCGTCCCAAAACTCCCTCTTTACTTCGTCCGCCAAGCCAACATGCGGGGCGTAAGCACTCACGACATTGATCGCACACCCACCCAAAACCAACTTGATAAACATCAGACGATCACTAATCCTCTTCACCTCCACCACAAACTCTCACAGCTCCGGTGCCACCAGAATACCGACTCCATTCCTTCCCCTAGCTAAACCTGAATACCACAGTTTGAAACCATCAACCTCTCGCGCCTTAGTGCCCACCCACCTGGTTTCTTGCACGCATTCCACCTGAATCCTTCTCCTCTTGAGAACTTGCACCAACTCAATTGACTTACCTATGAGGGTCCCTATGTTCCATGAGCCGAAACGCACATGTGACACTACACTACCCCTCTGCGACCCTCCTATCCCCGTCCCAACCCCGGGATATGACCTTATAGCTACATTGCTAACTCACGCCACTACACCTACACAACATCACCAAAAGCAAAGCAGAGACGAAGCTACTAACACAAAAACAGTAGGATACGAACCACTGCTAAAGAAGGTAAGAGCAACAACAGTAAAAGAGTACAGTAGTAGCACAAATAGTTAGCAATCAAAGCAACACCTTAACACACACACTAGAAGGAGACGAAAGAAGCCACAGTAAAGCAATACAGCAATCAAATCACAAATCACATAAGAGCGATAAAATAACAGTAAAAGCAATAAGAACACGGAGAAAGTTTGGGGCAGGGAAGGCCGGCGATGGAGCAAGGGTGTGGGACTGTAGCTAGAGTGTGGTGAGGGTGG